TCTTGGGAAACAAACCTTTACGAGGAAATGCCAGTTAATTACGCAGTTCTTTTTGTCATCTAGTGTATATTGTTGCTTCCTCATCACCAGTCAACTCTTGTTCTAATATTTGGAAGTCTTCCCTCTTTCAATTTTTAGAAATGAATTTTAAAATTTAAAAACTGAAAACAGTGGGTTCTGCTTTAAATGCTTTACCATATTTTTATAATTTCTAGTAGTATGGTAGGAAAATAACTCTAAAAGATAAGAATTCATTTTCAAATTATTCACTAAATAGGACCTTTTCAGTACAGAACAAACATAATCAACTGTGAGACTTTTCTCCTTACAAATGGCCAGTGAAAGTTTTTGGTTTTATAAATACCAGTGAACTTTTCAGAAGGTCAGGATACATGTAGGCAGGTGTATTTATCCAGCATTCATAGATATTTTAATTTCTTACAGGTTATACAGAAAAGAAGTTCTACAGAAATTAATAGAAAAATGTGTTTCTAAAGGCTATGTCTTCCAGATGGAGATGATTGTTCGGGCAAGACAATTGAATTACACTATTGGTGAGGTATGCAACTGATAGTAAATAGTACATTGTATTAGTTATAAAGAATAAATTTAGACTTTATAATAAAAAGTTTAACTACTGAATAAATGTGGAAGGCTTCCAGTGTAGAATGTCCCTCCCAAGATTTAACATAGTAACAGAAGGCAGCAGTCCCTTTAAAAAAACTAAAAGTTACTGGTACCTTCTCCACCCTTGCCCTTTCTTCTCACCACTCAGCATTATGGGATGAGTCTGTTTGCTGCTTTTCTTCCTGCTATAGCCAACAGCCACCCTCCTTTAATACAAATAATGAATCCTATTTGCCTGTTTCCTTATGAGCAAATGCAAAGGACAGGAATTATTTCGGGGGAGGGAGTGGTCTATAATTACAGCTAGCTAAGTGAGCTCTTAAGGTTAGACTCTCCTCATTTAACACTTGATGCTCCCTTCAGAGCAAGAAAACACCTAACTAGAATGCTACTTCCTGGGAGAGTTGCAAGATTTTTGGCCTCAGACAGAAACATAGTGACAGCTAAGTTTGATAAACTACTGGAAAAAATCAAGTGAAACACTGTTTTACTTTTGGGGTATAATTTTTCCTTGAAATGCAGTCAAACTGGAATAAACCAACTTATAATAGTCAGGATCAGTGCATTTCAAACAGTTACTTGGTTCATAGGACCTATTTTTAAGTAGTAAAAGGCATGTTTAATTTTAAAGATTTGGGAGGTACACACAGTTGCTCTAGGAGTTCTCTAATTCTGAACTTGCTGTTGTCATAATTGTGTGCCTGCTACTTACTTTCTAAAATATTTTTGAAGACTGACTTAACATTTTTTTTAACTAGGTTCCAATATCATTTGTGGATCGAGTTTATGGTGAATCCAAGTTGGGAGGAAATGAAATAGTCTCCTTCTTGAAAGGATTATTGACTCTTTTTGCTACTACATAAAAGAAAATGATTTATTTATACTTATGTTCATTTCAATTGAAATATAAAAGAAGCCTGATTGCTGATTTTTTTAAAATGTGCTCTTAGAGCATAAATCATAAGGTAAGGTAAATTGCATGCAAATCTTTTATTCTGAGGAAATTCCATTTTATATGTCAAACTAAGATAGAAAAATGAACAGTATTCTCAATTCTTGCTTACATTTTGCTGTATTGACTATAAATAAATGTAAAAGTTTTTTGCATAAAATATTACTACTCAAGAGTATGTGAATACAGAATTTCTCACATGGGGAGGATTTTGAAATACTCTATAAAAACTGGATTCATAGCACTTTGTACCTAATAGGTATCAGAAGTAAGAGGAATGTTAATTACATTCATAAAATAATTCAGTGATTTCTGTATGAACTGAAGAAGAAATACACAACACACCTCTGCCCTTTCTTTAAAGATGTATCTCAAATTTCTTGAACCAGATAATACATTTAGAGCACAATTTTAGAGTGGTTCTTTGCAGCTGTTGAATTGATGAAACATTTCATCTGTCAAAACAAGTCTATTTAAAAAATATATATTGTGAATTGGAAATAGCTTGACAGCAATTGATAGCATTAGCTGTTTTTTTTATTTTCTGAGCAGTAACTTCTCTATCAGTAAGAAAAAATACTGATGGATTTAAGGCATAAACTTAGCTGCTATAGTAATTTTTAAGTATCTTTCTCCTCAAAATAGTTGTTTTCATATTATTTCAGGACCTTCAACAAAGCATATGTCTTTACTAATATAACAAAAATTCCTTCCCTGTAGCTCTTCTTTCCATTCAGAAAAGTGTTCCAACTAAAATGCAGGTTAAGTTCTTCAATACAGCCAGCACAAGCATTCTGTTTACCTACATTCTCTAAAGTAGGTATTTCAAAAAAGATCAATTTCTAATTGTAGCATAGCTTTTGGATTATGCAGTATCTTTTAAAAATTTGGGTAGATACACTTTGAGCAAATAAGCTTAAGATCAGGTTGACTGAAAATGCGAGTAAATGGAAGAGGCATCATCTCTAAGTAAATTCACAACTATATTTAGTGAGCAGTATTCCTGATAATACTGTTTCCCTGGCTTAATTTGGCTACTAAAGAAATTTAGATCTGATTTTTCCATTTGCAGTTCTGATAGATCTTACCAGAAATGAATACCAGAGTATAAAACCTTTATCATTTTGAACATTACCTGTTCCCATAGTTGAATCCATGGAAATACTCCAGTAAAGGCCTCTACTATTCTATTTCCTTTTTACACAGAGCTGTGCATCTGGCCCAACTGGAACCTACCCTCTTTGGGGAAGTGACTTAACCATCACTAATAAACAAACTAGATTCATTCCTGTTTGATGTAAAATTAGTTTTAAGCTAACAATATAATACTCGTGTTGAGAATGTTTTCTTTTTCATCTAAACCCAAAGTTAGCTCATTGTCAAGTATGTGGAGTATTAAGTAACTATCTCAGAGAACCCACCATAAAGTATTGCCTTTTCTGCCCTCACTAGAGTAATAAGTACCTTTTACCATTTTAATCTTTTTAGTTCTTATTCCCACAATCATTACAACATTACCACTGTTGGAATTTACGTAAAGTATTTGAGCATTGACCATTTTTGCCATTTGGAAGTTATTTAGAAAAGAATCTGGACAATTTAGATGCATTTTTGTAGTAAATCTGGTGACTTAAATATTGTAAAGTCTTCTTAAGCATTTACATGTGAAGCCAGTATCCCTTTTTACTTTGTAAATGAGGCCTAGGATGAAATCCAGATGTTCTCCCATTGCATTTGTGTTACCACTATATGAAAATGTATCTAAGGAAAACTAAACTGAAGATGAAACTGTTGCTTATCTCATACAGGCTTTTTTACCTGTCTTCTGCAACATAGATTCTTCAGCTTTCTCTAAATCAAATGCTTCCTACCCACCCCACCCCCGCCTTTTTATCCTTTCACAACATTTTCCAACTGTTGTTTTCCCATGAAATAGTCATTTGGCTTTTAAAGATACATTTTTTTCAAAATTTCAGAAATTAATGGAATACTGTGTTGGATGGAACAGTTTGTTAAACGTGCTAACTTAAATCTTTGAGCTCTGTGTAACCACAATTTGTACTATTTTCAGTTTAGTCAATTCTTTTGGGATGTTAAGTATGGTTTGAAACTTTTAACTTGAAATTTAGAGAAACAGCAAAAGTGTATTTACACAGCACATCTTAAGAAAGCAGGCTTGGTTAATTCTTCACAATTGGCATTTTTCTTTTCAGTATATTTAGCCAGTGATACACTCAGATGCATGTTACAATAGAAGGTGGGTTCAAAAACATTGAGATAATGTATTGGTTGGGGTTGGCCTGCATTTGCAAAGGCAAACTGTCCGTGTGCTGTCTTGTGCTGTACAGATTGTGGGAGCACTGAAATGACTGCCACTGGCACAACAAAGTGTGGTTTTTAAAGGATGTTGTGAAGGCCCATTGGCAACATTTCTCATCCTTGGACTTCACCAGTCTGGTGGCCTCAAAACGCTAGGAATCCTGTTTTCTTTAGGCCAAAGAGAAGAGTCCATCACTGACTTAGAAGAATGTCAAGCCCAGCGCGGCAGCCAACATTCTGTAAAACACGGCCCTTGTCCACCGAACATTGAATAGCCCATGCCGCCGGAAAGGGGTCAGGCAGCCATGGGCGTGTATCATCTCAAGTTGGTGTGGAAGCACGAGGCAGGCCCTCACACCTCGTTTAGGCAGGAGGTATCTGGCCAGACCTGCCAGGAGTCCCGTCTTTCCCGCTGCTGCCCAGCTCTTGGGAGCACAGGCCTCCCAGCACGTGGAGCCGCCGGGCTGCCCGCACGCCCCCTCCCGCCAGATGTAGTCCAGGCCCAGCTGGGTCCGCGCAGGGATCCCCAGCACGGCCACCTGACTGAGTGTAGGGCGTGCTGCGGCCCGCTGCTTATGCCTCCGCCGCCGGCGCTGCGGCCAGAGGAAGGCGCCCGCCGAGCGCAGGGGCCCTGGAAGCGCAGTGCGGCCATTATGCGCGGCGCCTCCTAGTGGGTCAATGGCAAATCCCCTTGGTTCTCGCGAGAGCTCCCCCTCGGTGGGGATTATATAATTACCCTTAGGTAGGAGTGGAGTTGCTGGTGCAACCTCCCTCAGAAAATGTTAGGTGCAAACACAGGTGAGAATGAGAGGGTTGTCCCTGGGGGACACTGGGGAAAGGGGTACTGCCCCCCCACTCCCTACTTAGCTGGACAATGAGTCCTCTTATGCTAATGAGGCGTTTACGTCACTTCCGCTCTTTCTCGGCCGCCATTTTGGCTAAGGCAGGTTCGGGGACTCGCTCCGAGGCGCTTGTATTGTCTGCTGAGGGGAGACGCGGGATCAGCCCCCTCCCCCGCCCGTTGCCGTCGCCGCCGCCGCCTACTCCGCCGGCCCGGTCTCCCCTCCGCCGCCCGCCGGGATCCATGAGCTGAACTCCCGCCTCCCCGCCCCACGGCCGCCGCCATCTTGTGCCCCCTCCCCCTCCCGCGGGCAGCGCTAAGGGGGATTTTGGCATCTCCTCAGACACAGCTCCCTCTCTCGGTCTCCGCAGCTGAGGAGCGAGAGGAGCGCGGCCACCGCCGCCCGCCTGCCCGCGCCGGTGAAGCCGCCTCTCCCACACCCTCCGTCTCCTCCCTCCGCCCCTCCTTTGTCTGCACCGCTCGACGACGCTGCCGCCGCCGCCCGCGCGGGGACTGGAGGGAGCTGCTCGCGCCGCCGCCGCCGCCCGCCGCTCTGCTGCGCCCGCCGCGCCCCCCGGCAGCAGCCGCGGCCGCGGCGCGAGCCGGAGCCCGCCGAGCCAGACCGCGACGAGGCCCCGGGCGCGCCCTCGCTGCCGCCACCGCCGTGCCGCCGCCATCCGCCCGCCGCCGCCGCCGTCGCCGCCGCCCGGCCCCCGCGCACGCCAACCCCGTGTGCGCCTCGAGGCCGACTCAAGGTAAGCCCCGGCCGTCGCCGCGCACGGACCCGCGGCCCGGCACTGCCCCGACCCTCGCTCCGCGCGGCTCCCTCCTGGCCGGCCCTGCGGGCGCATTGTTGTTTAGATTGCCAGCCCTCCAACCACACACGCTCCTTTGCATACTCCAGTGCTGACGGACCGCCCGCCCCGGCGCGGACCGCTACCCGGGCTCTGCTCCGGGGTCCAGGCGCCTCCTCCTGCAGCCCGACCCCCCTTCCCCGCCCCGTGAGCCCGCCGAGGCCAGCAGCCAGCCTGGCCACCGGAGCTTTTGCCGCTAATGGCATCTTCCTCCACCCCGCCCCCAGGAAGAACCGAGCTTCTCCCATCTCTGGAACTAACCCTTTCCTCCCGCCCACCCCACTCCCCCGAAAACAAGCCCCCCACGCAACCCCAATGCCTGGGACCAGCCTTCTGCCAGGTCTACCCACCCTTGGCTGGGGGAGGGGGTGCGGATTGGGGGGCGGGGAGCATACCTGGCACGGAGTGAAAGTCTTTGAGTCCCCTGTGCAATCCTGCCTCCCCTCTTATCTTGACCACTGAGTCCACCACCACCCCTTTTCTCAATCGCAGCTGCCTGGTCAGCATGGTATCTTACGAGCGTTCTGAGCTCCAACTTTAGAATAAGATGTTTTTTTAAAAAAAGGAAACCCAGAAAGCTGCGAAAAGATTTTTTTTTAATGCAATGAATGGGGAGTAGTTCTTTGAGCACCCTTCTATTCACCTCTTCTTTCCTCTGGACTGCCTGCTTGCCTCCCATCCCCCTCAACCTGGATGCCTGTCTGCTGGAAAAGGCGCGATTGCTCCTCTTCCTCCTCTTGCCCAAGACCAGGAGCTAAGGTCTCATATCCTTTTTAGCCACACACATACCCACACTAAGTCTTGATGTTCTTGTGTTTACCAGGTTCTCTGGACAGTTCTTGCCATAACCCCATTTCTCAGACAAAGGCTTAAGAGGGAAAAAGAACCAAACTGTTTCCTGTGTTTGCCATCTTAATACTGTCCATTCCCACACACCCAGTTCCTATTCCTGATGCTTCTCGTGCCAGTGTCTTGAACCTTAGAAATGGGAAAAAAAAAAAATCCTGGGTAGCTTGATACAGCTTCTTTATAAATCTGCATTGTTGCTTCTGGTTTATGGCCATGAAGAAAATACCAGCCCCCACCCAAAATGCACTGCAGCCAAGTCGGCTAAAGGCGATGAGTGTTGGAGTCAGTAGGGGGCGCATTCCCTGCACTGGGTAAGGCTGCAGAGGGGGGAAGGGCCCCAGAGCTAGAACAGGATGTGCTTCACAGCGCCTTCTACAGACCATGGGAAAATGGACCCAGCAAGTCACAGACACCCGCTCTCCTAGTTGGTGAGCTGACAGCAACATGGCGAAGAACTAAGTGAGTCAAGAGCAGTGATTTTCTTTATTTAAAAGAATCCACCCACATTTAGAAGTTCTGTCTTTTTACTTTTTCAAAACTGTTGACCCTCAGACAATCCGCATTGTTCTTGACGAACCACCTTGGCACATCCTAGGCACACAGATTTACCCTTCTCTGGAGTTCTGGAATTCTTCCACTTTAAGCTTTGAATGTGTTACCGTATCTTTCCAAGGCCAGAAGATGGTAAAGGGAAAGTTTAAAACCAAAGAGTAACAGGTTTGGGGTATTGCTGATAACCACCTTTCTAAATGGCCCAAATCTTTCCAACTTTTTGAGAGTTAAAAATCATTCCTGAGGAATGTTAGATTTCAGTGGGGTAGAAATTTTCATAAGCAATGTAGTTGGGTGTCATGGTTTGCAAAGTCTTGTTGGTAAACATCAAACTCATGTTGAGTTCTTCATTGTGAAACTCAATGAGTTTACTGTAAAATTTCATTTCCTTCCAACTTTGGACTTAGAATTGCCATGCATTTCTGTAGCCAACCACCTTTGCAAAAGCATTGACACCAGTCTTCTGTGAGCACCCACCTTCTTTAGGGTGTGTTGATTTCTATAGATTTTACTCCTCTTGTTATTTCCGTAGGTGTGAGATGCACAATGCGAAACCTAGGCCCCAGCTTTTGCACCATGATGCACAGGGTTGTACTTTTTGTACTGAACTGATAGGTGGCCTAGTGGTTATGCCCTGTACTACCATTTTGAGGATCTGGACTCCGTTCCTGCCTTGCTCTTTGGACCACATTGTCAATTCACACCGGTGGGTATATTCGTTTTGGAGGTTGGGAATGCAGCAACAGGGAAGTCAAGAGACTTCTTTCTTGGTCACCACCAAAGCCAACACTTCCAAAATTTCAGCCTAGCCACATTCCTCAAGGAACCGGTTAGAGTTGGTTGCAGCCCTGGGTTCTGAACAGAGAAATAACTTAAGAGTTGCTGGAGAGAAAATTTTAAAGGTGCTAATACTGTTTTAATTTTTTGCATTCTGCACTCTTATTTATAAAGTATGTTAAGTTCTCAATTACTGTTATTTTGATAACCCAGAAAAAGTTGTTAAGCTTCTGAAAACCTTAAAAGATTCTCTGATCAGAACAGGCCTTTCCATGAACATGTACTTGCTACCAAAGATTAATAGTGGTTGTTGATACTCAAGGGTACTTTTTTTTTAAGACTTTGTTGCAGGTATTTTATATAGACACATCAAGATAAATTTATGGGAAAATGAATGGGTGTTTTCTTTGATACATAGTCAACCAGTTGATTTTTAGGGAGAATTTTCCTTGGACATTTGCTACCAACTAACATTTGGTGAGTGAAAAGGAGGCAGCTTGGTTCAGGTATTCCATTAGAGTCTAAACTATATTACTTTACCATTTTTTGGTAATTACAAGAATCAGATGTTTAAAATGGTATTGTAATTTTAAAATACTGTAGCATTTGTTAAACAGATCTAATTTTGACCTATATTTGGTCTTTGATATATAGTTACACAAATTTTTAAATGAGTCATTTTGAAGACAACTTAGTGGAGCTTATGTTTGAGAAAAAGTTTTTGAAAGTGCTTTTGTTTGATTTAGCTAATTATACATAAGATACAGTGTTAACTGATGTCCTTAGTGGTAACAGCCATTTTTCCCCTACAGGAAAACTTTCTGTGAGCTTTTAAAAAGCATGTATTCTGTAGTTTCAAGAGTTTACTAGTTGGGGCATTCAAAAAAAAAAGATGAAACACTTGGTCTTGAAGGCTGGAATTTAGGTAAACAGTGAGGATTCGTTAAAGTAAAAGCCCTCAATTAACTAGAGGGTGGGAAATGGGTATCCTGTTTAACTGAACTTTAAGTAGAAATTCCTTCTTTTCTTGGCCCTTGTTGAAAATTTCCTAATACTTTACTAGAAGCTGCTATACATTAAAGTAAGTCTTTGATTTTGGTTCTAATAGTCTCTATAGAAAATATAGGAGATTAGATTATGAATCTAAGGAACCCTGGCCCTGCCTATCCTGGAAGTCATTGGTTTTAAACATACCCTATGTGAATTTGTTTTGCGTAAATTTCTTTTTTTCATTAAACCAAGAGTACAGGAAAAGTTCTAATATTATTTATAATAAAAACATTACCATGTTGAACAGATTAAATGTCATGTAAGTTCTCAATTGCTATTATTTTGATGGCCCTATCTCAAAAGTTGCTAAACTTCTAAATACTTTAAAGATTCTCTGCTGAGGACAGGCGTTTCCATGAACATGTACTTGGTACTAAATAATCAATCAATAGGCTTTTATCAATGAAGAATGGCTTTTGATTTTCATTATAACATACATGCATAGATTTATGTTTATATTAGATTGCTAAAAGCATGATTGCATAACGTACATTGTTTAAAATTTTTGTTTTCCTTGTAACCACTTGTAAGTTTTGGAAAATATCTATTAAACATAATTAGTATTTTGAAATTTTAAATATTTAGCAGTCTGTTGGTATATTTAAGATGATGTGCACATGCTGGCTACACATTTAAATGTGAAAATTATAGTTTAATAAAGAAGATAGAGCTGTTCTGTTATAAAGGAAGGAGCAAGTAAGGATTAATACTTGGGTTGAAAAGAGATAAAAGAAAAACTTCACAATTAAGTGGCAATTTTTCCCTTTGAGAGGCATATATAAATAAGAAAATTGCCTAAGTTGGCAGATTGATTCCACTAATTGGTGGGTGGGTGAATGTGTGTATACACACTGTTTTTTTAGAATTGGAAATGACTGTCATACTACTAAATACAAATAAAAGGACCAAATATTACAGATGTCATTAGGAAAAAATTATACATAAGTGCAGAAAAACAGAATCAAACATGATAGGGTTTTTTTAATAATCTATTTAAATCTTAATGAAATAAACTTTTAAAAAGAGGACAAAAAAATTTTTTTATTTTATAAAATTAGAAACTAATTTGTAGTTTATGCCAAGATGCCCACTACTCTTGCAGTGAGTTACCTGCTCAACTTGGACTTCGAAAAGACTTATACTTTAAAAGAATGTCATAAAGTCTGTTATATATCTTCCCAAAGGTAGAGTACTTCCAATGAAAATTTAACTTCCTCTTACTTGTGTAAGCATCATGAACATTAAGAAAAATATTGCTCCCCTGTGTAATTGAATTATAGTTAGATTCACAGAACTTGACATATTATTAGCATCACATAAACTTAAAAAGGTTTTCCTCCCCTAGTTTTGTAAGGGCTTGTGGTATTAAGTCTGGAGCAAATGCCATCTTCTTCTGATGTGCATCACTGTCAGTTGTACCTTTTATGTTGTTAGTTTGGAAACTTGACTGTTGAAACTGGCATGAACTGAAGCCCCCGCTGATGGACTGAATTGATGTTTTGCATATAGAAGCTATTTTTTGTTTACACATAGTCACGTTCCACCTTGGCTGTTGAGATAGTTTATAAGAAGAGCCATCCATGTTTTGCCCAGCATTAGTGGCCATGGTTCCATTGTGACTTCATGCTTTTGTATTGTTTGCTTGCCTGATTCTATTAATTACAAAAGGAGAG